GATGTTAATTGGGAAGGAAGAAAATTAGAGACTAAAATTAAGCCATGCTCAGTGGCAATATATTCTGTCTTAAAATGTATTTGGATGTTTCTCACTGTTCTGGACCCCATTATAACTTGACTCACTTTTCTTTTGTGTGGTGTAGGAATGGATGGTAGCATTGTCTCTAGGGCTGTATTTGTGCATCTTTTCGGGACTCTTCAGAGCTATCCATTTTCCTGAACAACCTCCTTGTGTCCTGGGAAGTGTGGATCAGTTTAATGATTCTGACATAGTGGTGGCATATACACCAGTCACTAACATAACACAAAGGGTAATGGAGAAGATGGCCTTGGCTTCCTTTATGAAAGGTGTGTTGTTCAATGACCAGCGTTTCAGTATTATGTGACCTCATGTTTAATTTGAAGTTTGGTCTTGTAAATTGAATTTATTTACCTAGCCTATAGGCCAGAGGTTCTCAACTGAGGCAAAGATTCTCATTACATACACAGTGAAGTGGTTGTTGTGGGCTACCAGTAAGGGTAGGTGGGTTAGAAATAAAATAGATTTCCTAGGGGGCTTTTTAAACAGCACACACACCATTTACCTTTTATTCCAGAAAGTATGTTTGGAACAGAAAAAAAAATATTGGGCCCTATTTTAGATGACATAAAGTTAATTTCACTTTTCTCAAACTTAACTTTTGAAAAGTCCTATTCAGGTTAGCATTCAATAATTTATGAGTTTCAAAAATTTTTAAGGATTTAATTATTTTAAATTTAGATTATAAATAGTAACTCTAAACCAAAGGTGTTTGAAAGTCAAGCTCAAGTTTAACAGTGGCATTAAAAAAACATTACTGTTAGGTATTTAAAAATAGTTTAAAAGTATAGCTCAGGACATGTAAAATCTATTTAAAATCAAACCAGGTATTATGTACTGAAAGTCAATAAATTTGGGGCTCTTGACCATAGAGTAATGATATTGTTTTGTCTCAAAGCTTTCTCTGCGTATCTGGACTCAGAAAATAGAGATCTCTATGCTATGTAGGCTGCTGCATTTACTTGATGTATACTTCTTATAAAGAAATAAAAACACCTGAGAGCCATAGTTATTGTGTGAGTCCTCCGGCTTCCATTCTTCATATCCAGCCTACTGACATTAGAAGTACCTATTGTTAGCCAGCTGTGGTCTCTGGCCTGCTCCATACAGGCCTTTGACCCTGCATAAGCAGATATCAGGACAATATCCTTTGCTTCTGTAATCTTATCCTACCATCAAATTTCTGTTGTTAGCCCTCTTTTCCCTGGAGTCTGAACACTGGCCATTTCATCCTTTTGTATAGTTTATCCAGTCTCTTAACACCTCAGTTCTAATAACTGTCTTCTGTCTTTCTGAATCTTTTAGTTTCTTGCTGTCTGGATTGTCATTCCCAGGGACAGCTCTGAGCTCTGAATTCTAATTATTTTATGCCCACTGTTCCTAATACTCCATGTCCAACCTCACCAAGCTTTGGAATGGATATTTTCATCTTTGGATGCCTTCCCTTGTTGTATAATTTCTTCATGGCTGCTCCTAGAGTTTTGACTTTGGCCTGCCTCCCTTACCCACATTGCTTGCTTGTTCTGCCTGACCAGTGTTGATTCTAACCTGATGTGGCTCTCCTGGTTTCCTCTATTTGGTCATTTACCTCATCTATCTTTTTTTTTTTATATACCTCATGAAGCATGTACAGAAGCCTCAGGGACTAGTCTTCCTGCATGCACAGTGCAAGCTATCAGCCACTTTCTGCACTTAAGAGTCTCGTGGTTCTCTGGACTCTGTCCCTGTTCCAGCTACCATTCCAGCTTGTCCCAACCACAGCTCCTCTCTCATTGTCTTATTCTACATTTACCTAATTCATGCTTTTTATCATGAGTATTCATGTTTTGACCTTGACAATATTTGTATACTTGCAGAGAAAATCAGTGAAGTTAGCCTTTTCCTCATAAAAGTTTCACAGCCTTACTTTATGTTTGGAAGGATGAGTAGTTTCAAATGTACAGCTACACAATAAAAATGAATATCTTTTTCATCTTAATGTAGACTTCACCCTGAGTGAGGTTTAAAATTAATGAAATTTTTAGAACATAATACATGAAATTATAAAAACGGAGGCCATAAATTGGACTTCAGTAGTTTTCAAACCTAGTAATAGATTTACTAACCATGTCTTGGGTGGATTACTTGTGCAGATTGTAAATTCATCCATTATGCGCTGATTATTATGAGCTTAATTCTTAGAGAGTGTTCTTGACTCCAAAGAATCTATAGGTGGACT